GGAGCTCTGCCAGAATATGCAATTCTTCAGTTACTGGAGGTATGTACGACCTAGAAATAGTGCCGTATGGTCGCTGTCGCACAGCAAACTAATGCAAAATCACTTGAGTTGGGTATTTATATTTAATTTCTTGAGTCGTACTTTATTAATAATCATTATTAACTTGCAGCAAGCGCATTTGTTAGACCATAACTGCTGCTCAACATTTTGCTGTGCATTCCCCTGAAAGTTGCACAGGGGGATCCATGGCGGTGTTGAGTGGGCAGTCAAGCGATCGAATATAATAAGCCCACTAACAATGCCATGGATCCAGGGTTATCCCTAGATGTGCTCATGTTGATTGTCACATTTGAAATGGCATACCGAAATAAATACCGATAGTTATGAATCTTTTAAACGGTCATTCGATTCAGTGGAGTTTTGGTCACTTAGCCCAGACTAAGTGTTCTGGAACAGGTCTTAAAAAAGGATGAGATTGAACATTCCTTATCATTGCGCCATCCAAGTAATTGTTATCTAGTCTGAAATTTTTTTTCACAGCGATAAAAAAAAAGATACTCACTGTTGTAGAATTTTTTGTGCGTGCATAACTATTCAAGTTCTTGTGGAAGAACTGGTTATTGTGCAGACAGTTTTGCATGTGTTCTTGCTTATTTGTCAGGGTTGAAAGTTATTTTGGTTTTCCCAGACAACCACTTAATTGTCACCCAAACAAGAAAACTGATTGTCTATTTGCTACAACCATGAAGGAAACACAGACATCACAATTATTATAGTTATCATCATATTACAGATACATAGATAGTTTTTTTAACATTTTTTGAGCAGTTATTTGAAAAGCCACATGACATAAATTTGACTGACATTGCATCTGCAAAAAAATTTTTCAAGTGTATTTTCTAGAAAGGTGACAAACGTTGATCTAGGTATTTCAGGCGTTTAAAAACACAAAACAACTTTATTGGACAACATTATTTTTATAGTGACAACCATTTCTTCAAAACAGTAGTCACAATAAACAAACATGTACATGTGTATGTGTTTTTTTTCTAAATTTTGACTCCTTTGTTTATTCACTCAGTGATACCTCTTCAAACATTCACTGCATTCTGTAATGTAAATACTTAGAAATGTGTTTGATTGATACATTGTAATTGAATCTTCTATCAAATATAACCATACATACATGTGGTTGTCAAAATTGCATACTCGGTCCCTTATCAAACTACAAATGTATGCTTGGAATTCTTTGCAATATTGAACATACCACAGCTATTGACATTATTGTAGAACACAGTCTAGGCTTACAACTATATGTAAATGTAAGATAATTCAAAACAACATTACTGAATTGGACTGTGGTATTAGTCAACACAATCTACAATGCGTTGAGGTATATAAATAGCCAATGAAATTATTGGTTTATAAGCACTTTTATTGGAGATGCGCTTCTACAAAAACGATACTTCAAAGGAAATGTCTGTTGCATATTAAGCTACCTCTTAATGTACATGTATACTGTGTGTGGTGTCATTGTATGACTAACAGTATTTTTTATTTTATAGCCTCGACTTGTTGAAGGACCCAGTAACAACCAGATGTAGTCATCAGTTTTGTCGGTGAGTCATCTATATGTAAACACTTAAAAAATCATAAAACCAAAGACTCATCTTAAATATTATATCCAGTTGATAATTAATAAATGATATTAATTAATTCAGACAATTTTTTCTATGTTTCAGGTTTTGCATTACTGAGTTTTTTAAAGGTACATCCTCGGCTCCATGTCCACTTTGTAAAAAATCCATTACAAAAAGGTTAGTATTCGTAATTAGACATTTTTGCTTTCTTGTGAACACCAAGTACATTTACATACAGATTACATCATGTGTGGACCACACATATTTGTAGGCCTACAATACAGTAGAAATTTGAAGATTAATATCCTCTCAATCCCACGTTGAGTTGAGTTATCAATATCTAGTATGTACATGTATATATACTGGGACACTTTATATTGAGTTTATTTGAGCTCTGTGTCGCCCATCTTTGACTTACTGGTACTTGATTTGCCATTTAGATGTGATCAGGGGCTTGAATAGTAAACTAAATATGAGGATATCTGCATAGATCACAAACTGTTTTTTGTACTCAACTAGGACTGCCATTGTTCAAAAGTTAAAGTTGTCTGTTTGATGTCATTTCAATTTCATGATTGTCAGTTTCTGGCATCAACAAGTCTGATGTTTTAAAATATGAAATACACCTTGTTTTTTCTGGAAAAGGCATGTAAGAAAATATAGGAACAATTTGAATCTGTCACAATGACAGTGAATCACAGTGATGCTGAAACACGAAAATCATCACCTTAAATATGTGTGACTTGTATTATGAATTATTAATACTGGTATGACTTGTTCTTCTTTTTTGCCCTTAATGCAATACATATAGACAAGTGAAATTATTCCAAATGGTCATATTTAAGGAACTGAGAATTTCAGTAACTTGTGTTACTGAAAGTGATTGAGAAACGACTATCAGGCTTTAGCCAGCCACCTGTCTGTCTGTAATTTTGGATAGATACGAAAATTTTGATTTGACAGGCAAAATCTTTACAAACCTGTCCAATTTTCATTGAAAATTCTGTGTAAATTAGAAAATAACCATAAATATTCAACAATCACTGATTGCTAACTTTGTTATCTGATTTGCATAATATATAAATGCAATCTGTAGGAGTTTGACAGAGTCTTGTAAAATAAATGAGATTGTAAATGCAGTAAGAGGAGTGGTAGATGCTGTAAAAGAAGACACAGGCTTGGAATGTAAGTAAATCTATGGTTTTCTCATGACACTCAACTCACAGCTTTATTCAGAATCTCAGTAAATCCATCCTCTGTATTTTGTCAGAGGTGGTATCCAAATGAGATTGGGAAGCAGTATTTGTAATTCATGATAATAGAATTACATACTGTATATCAGCAATCAACGTTTATTAATTATGCTACCGTATTTGAATATGCAAGTGTTAGTACCATAATATAATACATGCAACTTCACTTGTAGGTACACCTCCACATGGACCTCCAATTGCTTCTCAGTCTTCACCAAGACCACATACAGAAAAAGTTTTACAACACAACAGTAAAAACTCACATCAGGTAATGTACTTCGATATCACTATACTGTATTCACTCAATTACTAATGCTTGTACTGACATAAATGACAGATGTTTATCTGTGGTCAAAATTAAGCCTACAATAAAGGCATGATTCGGTTTATGTGTGCTTTTATTAGAGATATGTTTCTAATAAAGCAAATATGGTACTCTGACATTCTACTATTAAAGACACATTTGTAGCGTTATGTGTATGGAAGATGCCTTCCCAGTGCATGCTAGTGTAAACACAGTCAGCCCCAAAAAATGGTGTGTATTAAATAAAAGAGGAATTAGTAAAACCAGCTTTTCGTACCTTGCCTATTCTCTAAAACAAAAATTAACAATTTGTGTAATAAATATTGAATGCTAAAAATACAGTTAATTTATTCATAGACTGACTATGAATCTATTATGTGCATGTAGTCTCAACAACTACAAGTAACAACTCTACGATTAACAAACTATTTTTCTAAAAAACGAAACTTGTTTAATTTGTTATGAATCATTTACATGCATTACATGTGTGCAGATTCTTCTATGATTAGCTCGCCAATTAAATTAATTAATGAACTGCCGGTAAAATGATGTAAAAATGACTGAAACCATAATATAATTTCAACAGGTGTCTACTTTTTCATCTGTGGGAAAATCAAAGAAAAAGAACACGAGAATAGCCAAGAGAAAGAAAGTAACTGATGATAGTGTTTCAGTATATGCAGATGATGACGTTGGAGATAGTGAAAGCAATGAAGTTCAAACAGGGAATCTTATCACAAACACTAATATAAGGTAGGATTATATCATGTGTGTAGAATTGATATAGGTAGATTGTAAATTGTGAGTCACTTTGGTATGAAGCCAGCCTGTGATTTACATGTATACACTCAAGTGGTGAGCAATGTGTCCTGTGCTATTTATGTATCTAAGAATCTCTGATCATTGTTCATTGAATCGCTAAGTAAATAAATAATCAATTTGTAGTCTACAATATGAGCTCAGTACTTGGCATTACATCTCTCCAGGATATAATTCAGGGACGCACTTGAAATTCAACAGACATATACATATACAGTATTTAAAGTGTAACTGAATTGGGACAATTGACTTTCTTTGTGTGCAAAATTTATTTATAAACAACATTATGAAAAAAAAACAAGTGAAATATGTACATAAATTAAATAAACGATCAATAATAATGTTCTGGATAAGGAAACGCCCACGTCCAATTTCTTGGCCGACTCAGAACGAGGCTTCAGCTAGAGAACCTAATTAGCATGCAAGGGTGATTTGTGACGTCACGGGGGGAAACGCATGCAGTGCTCGGAAAGCGACACAGAATCTATCTTATCATCGTCTGACGAGAGTTATG